TTTTTTTTTTTTTGGAACGGGGTATCCACCCTCTGTCACCCCTAAAATGGTGCTTGACGGCGTGACTAATCCTCGGCTTACCTAGAAGAGGCACCCACCCCAAAAATCTCCTGGCCTGCACTTGATTGGGCCCCACTTAAGAGCACTGCCGCTCAAGGGGAATCGAGCATGGGGTGGGGGGTTCTCAACCGTACTCACCCACCAATTAAGCTAAGCTTTGTGGGTAATTTTAAAAGAAGATTACAAAATCGTTAAAACTATTATTTAATTAATTTGATGTTTACTTCTCTTTATCTTTTGATCTTAAACTTTGGCTTCACTTCTTTAACTCTTTTGCATTCTTATAATTATTGCATATGTAATCTATTTCATTGTTATGTATGCAATTATTGCAGTCAGTTTGATATTATATGATAAAGCCCTAAGAGCCAATCTCTATTAGATGGCTAATTATGATAATTTTCTTATGGAGCTTTAAATAGTAATATGTATATAGCTTATTTTGACAGTTTGATAAATAATATGATTTCAACATCATTCGAAGCCATTTAATCGTCACTCTATTACTTCTAATAGTGTGTATATATATATAGTGAAATTAATATATTAGTAAAAATTGATTTACATATAATATGTTACTAAATTACATATAGTAGTGTATATATTATTTTTTGGCAATTAAAACCGTCATGAAAGGTCTTATATTATTCACTCTTTAGACCGTGCCATAGCTATCTCCTTCTCGTTTATTGCGTTATTGAGCTTAGTTGTGCGAAACTACACTCCCGCCTGCTATGTCGACCATCATTGATATCACCATTGTGCCAACCTCCACCATGTCAAAGCCACATCGTACCAACATCATCATGTCAAACATCGCTCAATTATCAAAGTTTCTACTGCCCACCACTCCCGCAAAAATTCTTCTTTTGTCTATACTTAAGAACTTTGTTGTGCTCATTTATTTTCTTTGCTTAGCTTAGTTGTTACCTTTGCTGCTAGCTATTAGAATACTTTTGTGATTGGATTTATTGCAGTTTTGAAATTTGTAGAATTATTCTAAGTGTTTTTTTAGGGTTATAATTCCATTTATTATCTCAGTTTTAAGCAGGAGTTAAAGCTTATATAACTATTATATTAATAATTGATGTGAAAGAGATGAAATTTAATTTTCATGAAATGTTGATGCGACATGAATGATTGGAAAAGAGAACGAGCACTGAAAAGATGAGATCCATGGTGAGAGGAGGCGCCATTTAAGAGAATAGGATGATAGCAAGAAATTAATAGTTCACACAATAGTTAAATCAAGCTTCCAATGAAATAGTACTATTCTTACTGCTTTTTATAACAGTTTTATAACACAGAATTTTCTAAAAGCAACAAAAAAAGTGACCAAAGTGCCCCCAAAGAAAACCTCAATCTCCAATTCAATATGATTAATCAATTAAACTTAGCCCATGACCTCGATTTATTGTTAATGTTACAAATGGTGGCGACAGTGGATAGATTACCACTTACAACTATAATGACAAAGAGAATGAGAATTTCATTACTAATTGTCACCTTAAAAAAAGCTCACATATGACTCATAATTAAAATTACAAGTTAAAATTACAAGTTAAACATTATCATTTTACAATTAGTGATGATCCATCATATTATTAATAATTAAGATTTTATTTTTCGATATCATGCAAGAAGAAAATAATCATTTATCTAATGAATGAGGTTCTTAGAAAAAAAAAAGGAAAGAAATTAATTGATGTTCGTTTAGAGAGAGAGAGAGAGAGAGAGAGAGAGAGAGAGAGAGAGAGAGAGAGAGAGATGAACAACATTTTGAAAAACTCTTTGGGTTTGTAATTTAAGCACAACTCCTTACTACATTACACATAAATGAAAATGGAAAAATATGAGGATATTAAAACAATAAGCTATGTATGTTCTTACAAATTAAAAATAGGACAGTGGTAGAGAAGGTAGTGGATATTATGTAGAAAGAAAAAAATTAATGATGTGAATATGGGTGCATCAAAAATTAATATTTCTATTTATTTGTTTCAAATATTCAAGCTCGCATTGTTTGCTTTTGGTGTTATTATGCTCCAAGCTTCTTTAGGTGGAATTTAACCACTTTTATTAGAAGAAAAAGCACACAACATCAAAGTTACAAAGTTCATGAAAAAAAAAACAAGTAAAAACATAACAAGTAGCACACTAGGCATATGATTGCCTCAATATTTAGCTAAACACCACAATAAGCTTTTAAGGCATCATTAGTTTTTTCTCCTTCCTCTGAGAAGCGAAACTTCACATAGTCATAATACTTAAAAGGCTTGAAAAGTAAGGGATGTTGTTCATCAATTAATTCTTCTGGAGCATTTATCATATCATTTGTGAGACTTGGTATTGTGCTAAAAATCACTGCATATCGTTTTTCGGTCTCATTCTTCAATTTTACTCGATGATTAGGAGCATGAAGTCTTCCGTTAGTCCATGCCTGAGTCAAAAAAAAAAAAACTTATTCAATAAAAATTAAATAATAATTTTCATTTGTAAAGTACATTTATATATTATCCTCAAACAAGTATACTAACCTTGAATACTTCGCCAACTAAAACCGTAAATGAATTTTTCATAGGCTTCGCTTGTATCCATTCACCGCCTCTGGTCTCGATTTCTAGTCCTTCCACATTATGGGGGCAAATTATGCTTATATAGTTGGGATCTTTATGGGACGGCAAAGAAAGATTGATTCCATCATCTAATGCATTCTTATAATAATTTGAGAACCTTATTGAACATGCTAGGGACTTCATATGTGAATCATTCTGATGAAGCTCTAAGCATAAGCTCTCAATGATCATCCGATGGATCATATTTATGATCTCTTGCATATGCTTTGCATAGTTCAACACTGTGTTGCTATCCATAGAAAATAAAGAAAAATAAAATAATGTATAAACAAACGCATCTTTCTTAGGCAATCAAAATAATCAATTATGATAAAACTTTTGTTGCTTGAGAATACTTACCAGAAAAAATCATTTTCTTGGGGCCATATAATATTTGCATATTCTTGAACAGCAACTAGAGAATTAGGATCTTCCAATTGAAGAGCCGAGTAAGGGAAGCCTTGTTTCTGGAACCAAATGCCATGATAGGGCACTTGTTGGGCATCACTAAGTTCGTTCACAACTGGCATGGTGAACATAGTTGGCACGATCAATCCAAGCAAGTCATTTCGGAGCTCAGAACTAACCTCATTGTAAACAACTTCGAAGCCACCATAGATCTCTAGAGCTTCTGCAATTTTTGACCGAGCTTTCACCCAAACCTTTTCATCCAACCTTGTAATGTCCAATCCACTTAAATCCACTATTGGAAGCTCAAGGTTTTTTGTATCAACGCCACCCAAATATCCCATTCTTGTAGGTTGTTTCTCAGCTTTGCCTTTTAATGTTAAGTTCTAGCTTCTGTTAGAAGAAATTTACATTGGTTGAAGATTCCATTCTTAAGATGCTGTTATGCATTGTTCCAAAACGCCATACTTGTTGGATTTTAGGTATTGATCAATTATTGCAAATATATATTCTTATGGATGATCTGATTATAAATTATTTGAGGATATGTAGGCTATTTTAGATGTCTTTGAGTTAGGTTTCGCTTTTTATTTTTATTGTAAATTTTAATAGAGAGGAGAAGTGATTAGGTTCAGTTAGGATGTTATATTGGAAAAAGGAGACTTTATAGTAAGACCATCTTCAACTGACTTGCATGTCACCGTATGCCTCCGCTAGCTAGTAGCTCCATTCGACCCCTAAATCGCACGGCAAACATCGGTTGGTGAACAATGCGACTTTTTACCCAAGCTATTTTTTTTTTAATCCGGAAATTAGGTTATTAATTTTAGCTTTTTAGAATTTAAAATATTTTACAAGATTAATTTATTTAAGATACAACATTAGTATATCCTCATATAATTAAAGGATGTCTAGTAATAAAATATCTCAACAAAATAAAAAATAAAAATCAAAATACATAATAAGCTTGTTCCTATTTATGTGTTCTAATGTAATTTTTATGTTATTTAATAAATATTTGTATATTTAGGACATATTTATATCTCAAATTAATTTATCAAGTAATATATATATTAAAAATAATAATAAATTGATAAATACAAAATAAATTATGAGAAAGAATATACATAAAAAAATTCTTTTTTTGATGTTAGAATATGAAGTTTGGTTGGAGATAAATTACTGCATTTTGAGTATTACTATATTTTGAAGCTAGAAAAGAGTTTTTCGGTTGAAGATGATCTAAGCATTATGGCAGAGAAAATAGGATAATATATGAATCAAAATTAAGAGATAAAGTAACTTAAAGCACAGCATGCGGACTTCATCATTATTAAACCCAATTCCAGATGAGAAGGATTAGGAATAGATATTCTATCAACAATCAATCATAAAATATTTGCAAAATATTATGAAATGAATCTTAGGGTTCATTTGAGATAATTTTTTTCGTTGCTTTGCTTTTTAGGTCACAATCATAATTTTTATTTGGCAATTGCTTATTTATTCATTTCAATAAATTTTTGTTCTAAGGTGCTTGCTTTCAAAAAAGCTACTTTCTCCACAATAACTGTATAACCGGCTTTATAAAAAAATGCAACCATCACAAGCGAACACTTTCGTTTGGGACGGTTTTTTTTATGCTTTTAAAAGCATCATTTTAGTACAAAAATTTAATTTTTTTATACACCTGTGATCAACTGGGCAGCGAGGGGGGCAGCACCACGAGGCACGCGGCACGCGACACGCGGGCAGGGGTCAGGGCAGCACGGGCTGGGGGCAGGGCAGGCAGGCAGCGGCCGGGCAGCGAAAAATTCAATTTTTTTTAAAATAAACGGGTTTGCGGGTTGACCCGGCAACCCGCCGGGTTAACTCGAACCCGATCCGTTTGATAAACGGGTCGAATTTGAGAACCGGAACCAGACCCGTTTATCAAACGGGTCGTGACCAACCCGAATTTTTCGGGTCAGGTTTTCGGGTCATGTCAAATATTGACACCCCTACATATTCTGAAATGGACTATGTTCTTTGGTGTTAGAGAAGAATCCCCCATTGTGCTTATTTGGATCTCATTTCCTAATCATAGGCTTCACTTTTTTAATGCTAAAGTGTTACATGCCCTTGGTTCTATTTTTGATTGTCCCTTACAAATTGACCAGACAACTGCTTCTAGAACCCGTCCGTCTGTGGCTAGGGTCTTAGTCGAAGTTGATATCACTAAGAAACATGCTAAGGAAGTTTGGGTCGGTTCTAAAGCCTTTGGTTACTTACAAAAAGTGGAGATTGAAAAAGTTTCTAATTTTTGTACGAATTCTAAAACATATGGGCATGCGGTTTCTGATTGTTTCAAATTGCATCAGGATCTTAAAAAAAAATTCCAACCCATCAGTGGGGAAGGTGGTCTCTAATGTTATAGATACTGCAAACGAGAATATTGAGAACCAGATTCTTTTGAATCAGGTCGAGACCCCTACCCCTAATGAGAAGGTTGGAAATGATAATTTTAATGATTCGAAAAAGATGAATGTTTTGGAAAATTGTCTAATTTTTTCACCTGAGAGAGTCTCTCCTGGTGATAAACCTCTCGAGGAAGTTGAAAAGCTTCCTAATTTATTTGTCTCTATTGATTCAATGCTTCAAAATAATGAGAATCCCTCTCTATTGCTTAATGTGGACACTAATGAAAAGGAGAATATTATGGAGGAATGTGAAGAAGGGGAATTTATCCCCAGAAACAGTTATGGTCCTATCTCTATGGTTCATGTTAATAGTATTGATAAAGGGGATCCTACTGCTTCGTCTTCTTGTGATCTCTTTGTAATTGTTCTAAATCTATTGATGAGGAAGGAGCCTTTAAGGTGAATAAGAAGAAAAAGAAAAATTGTAAAGCTCCTTTACCTGATACACCTCGTTCTACTATGCCTCAAACTTTTGCTAAAAGTTCTAATGATTAAAGCCCTTATTTGGAATGTGAGGTATATTGGGGAGGTTGATTCTAGAATTAGAGTCGGGAATTTATGTCGTGTGCATAACATTCAATTGCTGGTTTTACTCGAACCTTTTATTTCTGCTGATAAAATTGCTTTTACTGCTTCTCGTTTGGGGTTTAACATGATGTTTGCGAATTGTTCTAATAAAATTTGGATTATATGGAATAGCCATTTTAACATCAACATTATTTCTGATTTTCCCAAGTTGTTCATGTGCAAATCACTTTTTCTAACTTTAATTATAATTCTTCATTTGTTTATGCTGCTTGTACTAGATTGGGTCAGCTTCCTCTTTGGGATCTTTTATCGAATTTTGCTCTTAATTATAATGGTCCTTGGTGTGTGGGTGGTGACTTCAATATTGTTTCTAATGCTAATGAGAGAATAGGGGGTAACCCCCTTAATATCAATGCTATGTAAGACCCCCCCAATCTCAATGATATGGAAGACTTCAATTATATGATTTCTGATTGCAATTTACATGATATTAGTTTTACTGGTGGTGCTTTTACTTGGAGTAGAACTTCTATGTGAAAAAGACTTGATAGGATTCTCTTTAATAAAGACTAGATAAGAGATTTTTCTATGACTCATGTTCAGCACTTAAGTAGAACTTTATATGATCATGCTCCTTTACTTATGATCATATTTGCTAATAAAATTAATGTACCCTCGGCTTTTAGATTTCAAAACATATAGTTAACTCATACGAATTTTTTGAATGTGGTTTCTAATAATTGGCATGCCACTATCTCTCCTAATAACAATATTAAGGGTATGTATCGTCTTTGGGCCAAACTGAGTAGATTAAAATAAGTCCTTAGATGGTGAAACAAAAATGTTTTCAAGAATATCTTTTCTAATATTAAGGAAGATGAAGATAAGGTGTTGGAATTGGATAAGTTGTTTTTAGATAATCACATAAGTGTCAACCTCTCTAATCTTGATAACGCTAAAATTACGCTTTTTCAATTGCAAAATCAAGAAAAGATCTTCTGGAGACAGAAGGCCTCGGTTAAAATTGTTTTGGAGGGGGATAGGAACACTAGCTTTTTTCAAGCTTTGGCCAATAAGAATATAATCAAGAGTTATATCCACAAAATTGTTAACAACCAAGGGTGTGTTTATGATACTGGTGATTTAATTATTAATTCTGGGGTGGAACATTTTAGAAATGTTTTTAATAATATTAGTTATATTACCCCTATTATCAATCCCAATGTGATTCCTCACTCTATTGGAGAGGAAGATAATCATTTGCTCACTCAATCTCCTACGGAGGATGAAATTTGGAAAATTGCGAAAGACATGAATGAGGACTTTGTCGCTGGTCTTGATGGCTTCACTACTAAATTTATTATTAAGACCTGGGATATTATTAAGTTAGATGTGGTGGAGGCTGTGAATGACTTTTTTAATCGTAATCCTTATCCTAAGTTTTTCTCTTCCACTAATATTATGTTAATTCCTAAAAAATATTCTACCACCAACTAGAATGATTTTAGACCTATTAGTCTTTATACTTTCTTTAATAAACTTGTTTCTAAAATCATTGCTTCTAGATTAATGAACATCCTACCGAGAATCATCTCTTTCAATCAAATTGGGCTTGTCGAAGGTAGAAGCATTTTTGATAATATTCTTTTGGCCCAAGAGATTGTTCATGTATTAATGCTAAAGTTACTAGAAGGAATCTCATTTTTAAACTTGATATTACTAAGGTTTATGATAATTTGACTGGTAATTTATTTACAATGTGCTATCTCTTTGGCTTTAGTTAATTTTTCATCATGCTTATTAAAAATAGTATTGAAAATTATTATTTTTTTGTGATCATTAATGGTAGAAACCATGATTTTTTTTAAATCTACTCATGGGTTAAGATAAGGGGATCCCTTATCACCTTCTCTTTTTATAATTGTTGTGGATTATCTCTCCAAATTAATGCCTTAACGAGCTTTATAAAAGGCATCCTACTCTCTATTTTTGTAATGTTGGTGACATACCTATTACTCATCTCATTTTTGCATATAACTTTATTATTTTCTCGATTGCATCCATTAATAATGTTAAAATGTTAGTTCAATTTCTGTCTGAGTTCCAAAACATGAGTGGTTTGTCCATTAACAAGGATAAGAGTAGTTTCATTTCTGGTAAGTTGGTGAATCGTAGTAGAATTAGTGTTATCAAAAAAGTTTGTGGTTTTAACTCTACCTTGCTTCCTATTAAATATTTAGGAACCCCTCTTTTTAAGGGGAGGAAAAGAACTCATCTGTTTGATAATATTTTTATGATGTTCCAAAGGAAACTCTTAAACTAGTCTTTTAATTTTATATCTTTTGGTGGTAAGTTGGTTCTGATTAAAAATGCTTTAAACTCGATCCCTTTCTTTATTTTCCACACTTTGCAACCTTCCTCCACTTCTTGCATGGCATATCAAATATTAGTTAAATCATTCTTGAAATGGCATATCAAATAGGCCATTAAGTTTTGATAGTATGATGGTGTGTTCATATGTTGTTTGCTTTTGATGTTATTATGCTCCAAACATGTGTAGGTGGAATTTCAATATTTAGATTTCATTTGGTACAGTTTTTTTATTACTTTCTAAAGCAGTTTTTTAGCACAAAACTTTTGTTGAAATTTTAGTACTAGAAAGATGCTTTTAAAAAGTAATAAAAAAGCTCTCAAATGAAACCTTAATTACAAGAAGAAGTTCTTATTAACAAAGTTTAGATTAAAAGGCAAAACATTAAAAATAATGATAAAAATGATTTGAATTGGAGATTGAGGATTTCTTTGAGCATTTTTGTTACTTTTTATGTTACTTTTGGAGAAATTTTGTGTTATAAAACTGCTGTAGAAAGCAGTAAGAAAAATATTTCATTGGAAGCTTGAATTTTACTATTGTGTGAACTATTTTTTTCTTACTATCATCCTATTCTCTTACATCACGCATCCTCCCTCTCACCATGGATTTCAACTTTTCAGTGCCCGTTCTACTTTCCAACCGTTTATGTCGCATCAAGATTTCATGTAAATTAAATTGCAACTCTTTCGCATCAAATATTAATTTAATAGTTATATAAGCTTAACTCCATAGAACATAGATGATAAACGGAATCATAACCCTTAAAAAAAAAACACTTTGAATAATACTACAAATTTCAAAACTACAAGAAACCCAACCAAAAAGTATTCTAATAGTAGCAAATGTAACAACTAAGCTAAGAGAACAACAACAATGAGCGCAACAAAGTTCATAAGTATAGACAAAGGAAGGCCTCTTGTAGGAGTGGTGGCCAATAGAAACTTCAATAATTGAGTAATGTTTGGCATGGCTATGTTGGTACTATGTGGCTTTGACATAGTGGAGGTTGGCACTATCACGACATCGGCTTAATGGTGGTCGACATGGCAAGTGGGAGCGGAGCTTCGTGCAACGAAGGAGATAGTGTAACAACTCAAATTCTTAACTATCGATCGAGATATTATCTGCTTTGACTAAGGGCCTCATGGCGTTGTCCTATTGGTGTAACTTCTCAATATGTCACCCATCTCATAATTCTTCTAGGATGAGCACAGTTAACTACGGAGTTTCTTAATGAAATTTCAATCATTTTGCCCAAAAATATGTGAGCTTTCTTAAGGTGACAATTAGCAAAGAAATCCTCATTCTCTTTGTCACTATAGTTGTAAGTGGTAATCTCTCCACTGTCGCCACCATTTGTAACATTAACAATAAATCGAGGTCATGGGCTACGTTTAATTGATTAATCATATTGAATTGGAGATTGACGTTTTCTTTGGGGGCACTTTTGTCACTTTTTTGTTACTTTTAGAAAATATGATATAAAATTGATGTAGAAAACAATAAGAAAACTATTTCATTGGAAGTTTGTTAACTATTATTTTCTTGCTTTCATCCTATTCTCTTATAAAACGCCTCCTCTCACCATGGATCTCATCTTTTCGGTGCTCGTTCTCTTTTCCAATCATTCATGTCGCATCAAGATTTCATGTAAATTAAATTTCATCTCTTTCACATCAAATATTAATATAATAGTTATATAAGCTTAACTCCTTCATAGAACTGAGATGAAAATATAATTATAACCCTAAAAAAATACTTTAAATAATTCTACAAATTTCAAAACTACAATAAACCTAATCACAAAAGTATTCTAATAGTAGCAAAGGTAACAACTAAGCTAAGCAAAGAAAATAAATGAACACAACAAAGTTCATAAGTATAGACAAAAGAAGAACTTTTTCAGGAGTGGCGGGTAGTATAAACTTCGATAATTGAGCGATGCTTGGCATGGCGATGTTGGTACAATGTGGTTTTGACATGGGGGAGGTTGGCACAGTGGCAGCATCAATGGTGGCCAACATGGCAAGCGGGAGCGTAGCTTCGCACAACTATGCTCAATCTCACAATAAATGAGAAGGAGATAGCTATGGAATAGTCTAAAGAGGGAATGATATAAGACCTTTCATGATGATTTTAATTGCCAAAAAATAATTTTATTTTTTCAAATGAGTAGTAGTTTAAATTGCTTCTAAAAATGACTTATAACAGCTGTTCGAAAATCACTACCACGAAATGATGTGATGAAAATCAATTTTGGTATTGATGACAACATGTTTGTAATTCTTACTAAGATGTTCAAGCCTAAAAAGCACATGGTAGTGACAACTATTGATTTAGTATGCTACAAGAAAACTATTGCTTTATGAGATGTTAAAAGATTGAAATGGCTATTTTTGGTAGCAAATTGATGTTCATAATCACTTAGATATTCTTCGTTTGGAACAACTTTCTTATTGATTTTTAAAGTAGCATTTTAGGAAAACTATTTTAAGAATCATTAAAAAAGCCTTTCCAAACAAAATCATAATCTCTCACATGATCACTTTATTCATAGTCACAATATATAATTGCAAACATAACAATGAAATATTTTAATAACTTGTGCTTTTTTTCCTTAATAATTTAGAAACATAATAAATGTAAATCAATTTTTACTCATATGCTTCGTTTGTGACGGCTTTATTATTGCTTCTTAAAACTATCTTTTAGTACAAAAATTTTAAATTTTTACTAGAAAATTATTTTAAGAAGCAATAAAAAAGTCGTCCCAAACAAAACCGTAATCTCTTGCATGATCACCTTAATTATATAATTGCGTACATAACAATGAAATATTTTAATAACTTGTGCGCGCTCTTAATCGTTTAGAAATATACTATATGTAAATCAATTTTTTCTCATGTATTAATACATTGGATGCCATTTTCATAGTTATGTCTTTTTTTATATATCACAAAATAATAATTTGTATCTAGCTAATTAATAAACCTTTATTATGCAACCAATACACCAACCTTGAGTGCTTCACCGACTAAAACAGTAAAAGAATCTGTGAAGGGTTTTGCTTTTATCCATTCACCGCATGTATTCTCAAGTTCAAGCTCTTCCACATTGTGCTGGCAAACAATGCCTATATAATTTGGGTCTTTGTGGGGAGGCAAAGCAATAATATCTCCTTCATCCGATACATCTTTATAGTAATTTGCAAACCTTATTGAGTACCCCAACGACTTTATATGTGATTCGTAATAATCCTCCAAGCCTAAACTTTCAAGGATCATCCTATGGATTATCTGCATATTATAAAATTCCATTTCTTGAAAGTCAACTGACATGATATTTTTGTTTCTGAGCTTGGTTGTTAGCTCCAATGGTTGCTAAAACAAATTTGTATTTTTCTGGTAAGTCAAAAGCAAGCATATAATCTTGGAATCTTGATGATCATCAAGCATTCTGTGATTTTTATGCTTAAATTGTTACTAAAAAATAATTTGTTTGGCTGTTAGCTCCTATGTGTTATAACAAAAGGTTTGCAGCATGCAACAAGTTATAAAATTATTCAGCTTTATTATTTGGAGGCATAATATCATATCTTCATATCATTATATATAGTTGTTTGTGTTTTTATCGTGCCTTACAAATTAATGAAGGGAGATTTACATACAAATTATTATATATTACTCTATTTACATATCTAATATTTAAAATTTTAATATTACATACATACCACCTATAATTCACTTTTATATCAAATATGAATATGAATGAAATATATTAGTGGTAAGAATGAAATTAAGTCAAATATGCCTCAAGAAATTTGAATGACCAAGATAATATCAAAGGAAACATATAAATTGATAAACATATACAAGTAAATTGTATAAGGATTGACTTAAAAAGTCCTTGGAATTATTATGTTTTTGCTGCTGATAACAAGGACATTGTGACCTACTCGTCCATCGACGACTAATCCAGGTGGGTTCGATGTCAGTAGTGCGAATAAGTTTTCAAAAAATTCACTTGTTCATTTTAAATTTTGAATGATATTTGAACTGAAAATTTTCAAAATTAAAATTAAGGACATTGTACTTTGATTTTAAAATATTTACAACCAATTTGAGTAACTCAATCAGACAAACTCAATGTCAATGACAACAAACTTATTTATATGACCACATGCGCCCAAAATAAGAAATTGAAGAAAATGTTGAAATTTTAGAATTTTAATTGAAGGATCAAACAAACTTCAAATCATATATGCTAATGGAATCAAGCGAATCAAAAATATGATTCTAATGAGTCCAAGATCATTCAATTCTAAATTCATTAAGGTACTCATAGATTGAATAAATAATTTATGACTAAGGGAATCAATATGAGCTATTTGATGGAATATTTTGGATTATGAAAAAATTCACTAAAATGCCTCTCTTAAAATCTATAAATAGGACTCCATTTTCTAAATGGAGAAAGACAGAAAGTTCTAAGTTGAAAGATATAAATATATCTATTGTCTTGCTCAATGATTGTCACTCATGACAACTATATCAACAATCACCATCACCATCATCTAATTTTTATTGTCGGATTATGGACAACCAACTTGTTATATAATCATATATTTATTATCAATTATGTATGATCACATCCTTTTCAACTATGTAGAAGAGTGGATTTTTGACCTTTAACAAAACCCATTTGGTTAGGGGAAATAAGCTTGGGCAAAAGTAAAGACAGACGATTCACCAAAATTTTAGAAAGAAGTTTATAAAAAACAGTGCACAAGCTAATAGGCCTGATGGGTCCCTAGCAACTTATATCTATGTGGGTGCTAACTTTGTATATTGACTAAGATATTAAATATTATATCATGAAATATATTTGCATCATCGTTTAAAATATATATCCCAATATCCTAGCAATACAATGACTTATAAGAGCAATACCATTAATAGTAGATTTTTGTCATTCCAGCACTAACCAACCAGAAATATATCAAAAAATCATGAACATCATAATTAACCTAGAGTAGCCATCTAGACCCATCTCTAGATGATCAAATATGAAATATATAAGATGGAGGAATAAAAAGTTTGAATTTGTCAATTATTAGAGAATGCTGACCAACAAAGAATATCATCACAATATGATGAACTCACTAACCACAAAATAAACAATAGAATGGAGATGAGCAATTAAAAAAATGCTCATGCACAATACCCTCATCCTCATGTTAGTATGAGTCGTTCAATGGAGATCGGACACATAGGATAGAGGAAAAACATGATGAGATGCCTTAATTGAGATGCTTACAATGATGTTAGGGGAGGGGATTGGGGTTGATCGCTTAATCTCGCTAGTTAAGGTACTTCGCACTAGTGGCAAGAGCCACAAGCTTTTAAAACCTTTTTTTTTTTTACAAAGCTCATTTATGAGCAGGATTTTATATCATCAAAAAGCCAAGTAACAAATTATTTGAAGGAATCCACATCCCCCTATTTCTCCAAGAGCTACAATCAAAAAAGAAAAATAAACTTATTGAACACTTATGTTGTTATGTAACAGGATATCATAGAAAAGAAGAAGAAGAAGAAAAATGTTTAAGAGTTTATATTCTTTTACTTAAGAGGTTTCACAATATGTCCCACTTAAGTAACTAACGTCTTTATCAACATCTTTATCCCAAAATTATCCACCAAACAGATAGGATTCTAGAGGTCGCCCCTACAAGTTCAAGTGGTGACACCCGCCATGTAGCATTTTATAACATATATGGTTCAAGATGTGGCTCCCATAGCATAGCATTTTGTCTTGTATGACACTTAGTTCTCATCTCTCAGTTGGTGTATTACTCTAATACCATTTGTAACAACCCAAACTATTAACTATCAGATATTGTCCGCTTTAGTCTAAGAACCTCACAGCTTTATCCAATTGGCGTAACTTCTCAGGAGGCCACTCATCCCATTAATTCTCTGGGATTAGCACGCTTAGCTGTGGAATTTTTAATGAAATTCCAATCATTACACCAAAAAGCTCCCTAATGTATAAGAATTTTTCTTCATTTACTCAGGGGGTTTCACATAATTATTTAAAATAGCTCAAATTATTAACTATCGAGATATTGTCCACTTTGAATGCCTCACAGTTTTATCTTGTTAGTGTAACTTCCTAAAAGGTCACCCATCACATAATTACTTTGGGATGAACACACTTAATTATAGAATTTTTCAAATGAAATTCTAACCATTACACTAAAAGTTAACTCAATGTTTATGAGTTTAACTTCTTTTACTTAAGGAATTTCACATAAATCTCTTGTATTAATCATATTTTCCTTTATCTAATTATCCATAGTCTAACTTGCTCAGATTTTAAAGTGCATTTCAATCTTGGTTAAATCTTGAACGGACTTATCATTCAAAGTGATAAAAACAAAAAATCATAAATATACATCTTTTTTCACACCGTTATCAACAAAAACCATAACATTAAGTTAGCCCCTACTCTTAATATAAGATTTTCATGAGATATTTCATGAACCCCGATGAAAGTCAAGACCATTTAGTCTCATTGTTGTAGCAACCATTAAGTCAATTATAGCTAATACCTTTGGGTCAATTCCAATTAGTATCCCTAGTTTTACAGGGCATCACTCTTAAGATTAGAGGTGTAAATAAGTCAAGTCTATCTTGAGCTTGAGCCACCCATCATTTTTAGCTTAAACTTGATTAATTAATCAAAATTTAGCTTAAGCTTGAGATTTATTCTAAATGTTTATGTTGACTCACAAACTAGCTTATTTTTTTATGCAAGAGAGAAGAGCATTCTTATTCAATCATGTATTATTCTACCATAATTAAAAATAAGAAGTTAAGCAAGAAATAAAATAATCAACAGAAATAAGAAAAAGATATATAATTTTAAATATGTTTAACAACTTTATACCAAAATCTTTTAATTGTGTTATATTTTAACTATATTTATATTAATAGTTTTCAGTTGAGCCAGCCCATAAGTTTATGAGTCAAGTCAGGATTGGTTGCATATTTGGGTTGTTAGCTCATTAAGCTCAACTCATGAACCATTTATCAAGTCAAACTCGATCTAACTCATGAGTTGACTTGACTCAGTTACATCCCTACCTAAGACTCAATCATCCTTAATAGATGCTCATAGACATACAAAATATTCTTCTCCTAGGTTTAATACAACCTCAACCTTTGGACTCTCTATATTACCACCTTTATGCTTGTCATAACTTTGCACTTCGGACAGTCATAGTACAACCTTAGAATCTTCTTTTTTTTTTAGACATTTAGGCCAAGTCAAACTCACACACACATCACGTACACAAGAATCGAATTCAAGACCTCTTAGTTGGTAGCCGAAGCTCCCAACCAACAGACCAAGATGAGCTGCGTACCTTAGGATCTTTCAGTGTTGTCACTTTTTGCATGATAGTACAAGTTGCCATTAGGTTTGTTTTTACTGCCACCTTTCGATTCTTCATCATCATTTTCCTTAGGTCCACCATTGTTACATATAGTTTTTTTTTTTTTTTTTTTTTTTTTTTTTTCCATTTTTTTTTTTTTTTTTTGTACCAAAAAATTCAACCTTATGTTTGTTTTCAAATTTGGTGCTATTCTTCACATGTATTTTGAGTGGAAGTCACACATTTTATTAGAAAAAGACCACAACATTAGACATAACTACAACAACTTTCACAAAACCACAATAGTATTTCAGGCCATTTTTATATTTTTTTAACCCTGAAATAAGAGTGGATCACATAGCTGCAACTATATTTCTTAAACACCACAATAAGCTTTTAATGCATCCTCAAGATTTTCTCCATCTGTGAAGCGATATTTGATGTAATCATAATACTTAAAAGGTTTGAAAAGTAACGGATGTTCTTCGTCAACTAATTCTTCTCGAACATTTATCATATCATTTGTGAGAATTGGCACTGTACCGAAAATCACCGCATATCTTTTCTCAGTCTCATTCTTTAACTTTACTCGATGATTAGATGCATGAAGCCTTCCATTAGTCCATGCCTGCATCAAAATAAAAGATATTAAAATAATTTCTATCATGTTAACTAATCTTTATGATTTAACAAATATACCAACCTTGAATGCCTCACCCACTAAAACAGTAAAAGAATTTTTTGAGGGTTTTGTTTCTATCCATTCATCAGTACTCTTGTTCTCAACTTCAAGTCCTTCAATGTTGTGCTGGCAAACAATGCTTATATAGTTTGGGTCTTTGTGGGGAGGCAAAGCAATTTTATTTCCTTTATAGTAATTTGCTAACCTTATTGAATATGACAAGGATTTTATATGTGAATCATAATGATCCTCTAACCCCAAGCTTTCAAGGATCATCCTATGGATTGTCTGTATTAGCTTTTGCATGTGGTTGGCATAATTCAACACTGCATTGCTATCAAAAAAAAAAAATTGTGATCTTCTTAATTATATGTTATATTGAAACTTTTTCGCTAGAGAAACTCACCAGAAAAAGTCATTTCTTTGAGGCCAAATAACTTTGGCATATTCTTGAATTGGAGCTAAAGTATTAGGATTTGTCAATTGAAGTGCCCAAAAAGGAAAGCCTGGCTTCGAGAAAAAGGCTCCATGATAGGGCAACTCTTTGGAATCAATTAGGTTGCTTGCACCTGGCATAGTGAATAACTCTGGGACGGCTACTCCAAGCAAATCATTTCGTAGATCGAGGTTAACCTCATTGTAAATAACTTCGAAGCCACCATAGATTTCTAGAGCTTCTGCAATTTTTGATCGAGCTTTCGCCCATATTTTTTCATTGAAACTTGTAACGTCCAACCCGCTCAAATCAATCTCTGGTAGCTCAAGAGATGACATTTTGTTTCAGATTAATTCTCTTTGCCTTCTGATATTAGGGGACTTTTATAATGATTGAAAAATATTCTGTGCCTAAGATTCGGTTAGTACTATTCCAAAAAAACACATTTGTTGTATGATAACAATGAGATAATTATTCCTTTATTATTGTTGTCCTATGCTACCAGCCGAATAACATAATATTATTGTTTCTGAACTTGTAACATTATCTGTTTAATGATTTGCATATATAAATTTGTATGTTTTTGGGTAAGTTGGAATCTTATCTTAGATTTTGAGATTATAATTTTGCAAATTTGAGCTATTTTTGAAAATAATAGTATTAACTTTGCTTTCGAGTTTAAATTGAATACTAAATCTATTTTTGAATATTATTACTCTCTCTTTATAATATATCTCTTTCTATCTCACTCAACAGATGAGATTTAATATTATTACTCTCTTTCTATCTCTCTCAACAGATGAGTGTTAATATTAGTGATGATAATTGTTGAAGTAATTCGAACTAAAATTATTATGTTAAAAACTAACACAAAATTATATATACTACATATGAACTTTCTGATGATGACTCATGATGCATATGGTATTGCTACATTATCACAAAAAGTTCATTTAGTACTAAAAAATTTTCATCACTAGAAAATCAGAATTTCTATAAAATCATTCTTCATATAAAAGTTGATGATTGAACTATTTAATAAGCTGTGCATATTGGTCTTCAACTTACTATGAAGCATTGAGTGTTAGTTACAAAGATTTGCCTATCCCTTAATTTGGACATGATAAGATTACAAAAATAATATAAACTAGAAAAAAAATACCGCATAATTGATATGTGATAAGAGGCATGCGGACATTTGTGGTTGAGTGGCAATACTTTGCAATGTTGGTTGGTCGGCGGTGGTATTCCGACGACTGTACTCAGGTCATGACAAACGGATAATGATGATAGGGCAACGACAGTCTGATCATGGTGATTGGGTGGTAGTAATATGACGATGACGATTGACACGTACGTGATGGTGGTCGATGACGGCTATTTGGTAGCGAAGGTCTTACTGAGGCCATCATGTGGTGGTCAATGATGTCAGTCCGATAATAGTAGTCAGGTGACAGTCTGATGATGGTACTCGAGTGAAGTTTCGAGATTCTTCAAGCCTATTAGTTCTCTTAAATCACTAGCCAAGGATTCCCTTCATATAGATAGTAGGGACCTATGTATAGATTTTTAGACTGGCCTCCAACTACCTCTAACTTAACTCCAGAAAATACAATAGCATTACCTAGAAGGAAGAAACTAAAAGGCACCATAGATTTCTAAGTCACAACTATGAGTAGCCACCACCATCTTAGGAGAATTATTCTCTTTAAAACCTTCTACCAAAATAACAGGAGAAGCAATCTCCACCATATCTTGTTGAGAAAGCTTCAGACGACCTGAAGTTGCTAGAGGATCCACCAGGATCTCTAGATCAATATTATCTTTCAAAGCATAATGATTAGATTGCTTATGAGAAGTCTCAGCCAACACAGCCTTCTTTCTCTTAGATAAGGGAACACATGCATTCACGAGTTCAAGATGAATAGAAAAAATTATGTTCAAATAACATGCCCAAAAGTACTGTAATGAATTCATGAAGTATGGCAAAAAAATATGTTCAAATAACAAGCCCAAATGAACTTTAATGAACATGTATCTTAGATAGGAATCATGTGCTCTATAGTTTTTTTTTTTTTCTTTTGAATCTAACTCTTTGAGCATTAACGAACTGTGAATTCCTTTTAAGAACTTTTTAATCGCTTTTTTGATGAAATAAAATCTAACTTTCTTAATAAAAGGAGAGAGTAAAGTTGACTGTACTAGCAACTTGAAAAGAAATAGTAGTGCAGAGATCACTTGGCTGTTGTGAGCTCCAATATAAATGTTAGTGTAGAGATTGTTTATGCTCTTAAAAGAGATTTGTATGGTCTGTAACTCAAAGATTTGCTGAGGAGATAATGGAGGCCTGAGAAAAACTTGCAGACTGATGTTAATAATAGAAGAAAGCTCGGGGACTACATCTGTGAAACAGTATCAATTGCCATCACAGCTAAACTTGAATGATAAACCAAGGCTTCTTTCATGTTGACTATCTTGCTGAAGTTTTTTTTTGGTGGGAGAGTACAAATCTTGCTAAGTGCTTGGTGGGCAGTGCATCTGTCAAAATAATTTTTAGCAACAAAAGAATTTCTCTCTCTTTTTTTTTTTGATAAAATCTATAGAAGGGCTTATGTACATGTTAATTCATCAAAAAATATTACAAGTCTCTAGATCAAATGCTCGCTGAAGCTCAAAGATTTACAATCAAAAACAAAAATAAATCTAAGGAGCCAAAAATCCCTACTAAGATACAAGATAATAGGGAAAAAAAGGGAGGCATAGAGCCAACACCCTAAAATAAGCCTAAGATCAAATAAACTATGAAGCCCAATCAGATACTAGCAACATCAGCTGCAAAAAAAAGGAAGCACAAAAAATAACTAAAGGAAAATCAATAAAAACATCCAACAAATTAAGTCCAGCTTCAAGAACAAAGCATTAAGCGACCAAATCACATTGAAACCATCAGCAAATCATTAAAATCAAAGAACCACAAGCCTGCAAAGGATCTTTCCCAAATAATCTCCAACAAAGAGTAAGCACCCTCCAAATTAAGCTCAATCAATACATACATCCTTCCCTCAAACCACCACAAGTAATCGACATCATTAAAGATCTGCAATAACAAATTTCTCACAAAAATCAGAACCTGATTGGATGATCAAAAAATCACAAAATAAGCAACTAAATAAAAAAAAAACAAGCCAAATACAAACTCAAATCTCCCAACCACATAGCTAAACAAAATGCCTACAAATCAGAAACCCATAAATAGACCCAACAGCAAATACCACCAACCCACCACCCAAAACAATAACCAAAAATACCATAAACACCAACAACCACATATCTATATTTTATTAGTATGAGAAATGCCATTCTTTTCAATCTGCAACATAGTACATAAAATCATATATTTCTTTAATATTATTGAAACAAACAAATTTTACAAATTCAAGAATTTTTAATAGTGTCATTTAATCATCAGCAAAATGCTTTGTGATTTAATTTAAGAAAAAAAAAAAAGCTTTGTGATTAATTTCATTAATATAAAGCTTCAAAACATATTTATTTTAATGCAAGAGTTATTCATGATGTTTATATACAGTGTAGTTATTATTTTTAATTGGAGGCCAAATTTTATTTCAAAATGTTCCAGCAAAACATTTTAGGGGTACTGTTATTCTCCAGCAATTCATTCAATGGAATGATTAAGGTCTCGTTTAGGACGGTTTTTTACTGATTTTTAAAGATGTATTGTAGTATAAAATTTTTAATATTTGTACTAAAAAATAGCTTTAAGAAGCATCAAGAAATTCATCCCAAAATTTTCCATTCTTTTTACTAATCCTCACAATGGTTTATTTGAGTTTAAAGAAGCTTGGTATTGCATTAAGAAGAATAAGCCTCATAACCCGTTTTTTTCTGTTATTTGGCACAACTCGATCCCTACCTCCTATGCTATCCTGGTGTGGAGAGTGATTTCTAATTTTATCCCTGTGGACATGAATCTGATGAAAAAAGGTATTCAATTAGTTTCTAAATGTCATTGCTGTCATCATATTGAAACTGTGAACCATGTGTTTGCCAATGGGCCTATTGCTGTTTCTGTTTGGCTGTATTTTGAAGAGCTGTTTCAGTTTAAATTTTATCACAGTTTTAAGTCCATTATTGATATTTTTAAATGCTGGTTTACTAATAATAAAGGCCATGTGAGGAATTGTTTGACTAGTATTATTATTTGGTTTCTTTGGAAGAGTAGAAACGAACCGAAGCATGATGGTATTAAGATGAACGCCTCTCGTATCATTCGGTCTATTTGTGATAAAATTCAGCTGCTCTATGAGTCTGGTATGCTCAAGTATAACAATTTTAAAGGTTGCCGGCAAGTTTTTCATGCTTTTAATATTTTAAGTAATCCGGGTGTTCAGGAGAAGAGGGTCTGCATTATTAGATGGCTTAAGCCTGATATTGACTGTATTAAGATTAACACTGATGGGTCTTATAATGGTAAGGTGGCTGGGTGTGGGGGCATTTTAAGAAATCACCTGGGTCAGGTGATTAAGGCTTTTGCGGGGCCTGTTTCTGGTAAGTTTGCTTGTGTTGCTGAGTTATAAGGTATTATTTATGGTATCAAAATGTGTATTAATTTGGGTTATAATAGAGTCTGGATTGAAGTTGATGCCATGAATATTTTGCATTATACCAATAGTATTTCTTTGTTTAATGCTGAGAATTATTATTTGATTAGGGAGCTGAAGCAGGACTTGTCTAGCATTAATTTTAAGATTTCTCATATTTACCGTGAGGGTAACAAGTGTGCTGATGCTTTGGCTAATATCGGTTGCCATTTACGGGAGTATGTGGAATTTAACAGTAACGATCTTCCTAGAACTGTCAATGGTTTGGTTAGATTGGATCGTTCTGGCTTGCCTTATATTAAGAAGTATGAGGGGATTAAGTGATGTTTTTTGTGGGCCGTTGGTTCTCTGGGTGTTTAGGCTGGGCTGTGATGGGGTTTCTGGGAGCTGCGGGGTTTGGTTTTTTAGGTGCCTGCTGTTTTCGTTTCTGGGGTTGCCTCTAGTTGGTTGGTTGGATGTTGGTCTTGGTGGTTGGTGTTTTTCTAATTTGGGGCTAGTTTATATCACTGGACTGGGTGGTGGCTTTTGCAGCCTGGTTTTTCATTTAGTCTACTTGGTGGATGGGGGAATTTATGTTGATAGCAAGCTTTATAAAGTGTTTCTTAACTTGGTTAATTTTATTTGCTGTTTTTGGAGTTATTTTGTGTTACAGGTTGGGGACAATTGTATTTGGGCTGCTGCTGAGAGGGAGGAGGTCAAGGGTGAGAAGCTGATGT